AAGATTGAGTATTATGAGATATTTGAGGATTATTAGATAATAATTGGGGATTATGAGATGATATTTGAGAATTATGAGATGACTGGGGGATTGTAAAGTTGAATATAAGATTGTGAATTATGAGATAATTGAAAATTGTATGAAGATTGAGTACTATGAGATGATTGAGAATTATGAGGTTGAATATTATTAGATGATTGAATATTATTAGATGATTGAATATTATTAGATGATTGAATATTATTAGATGATTGAATATTGTAGGAAGATTGATAATTACGAGGTAATTGAGGATTATGAGAAGATTGAGAATTATGGGATGATTGGAGATTACGAGATAGTTGAGGATGAGGTAATTGAAGATTATGAGTTGGTTGAATATTGAAAGGTTGAGAAATATGGGATGATTGAGGATTATGAGATAATTGAGGGTTATGAGATAATTGACGATTATGGGATAATTGGCGATTATGAGATGATTGGGGATTATAAGATTGAGGATAAGATGATTGAGGATTATAAGATGATTGAGGATTATAAGATGATTGAGGATTATAAGATAATTGAGGATTATAAGAAGATTGAGAATTAAGAGGTAATTGAGAATGAGATAATTGGGGATTAAAAGAAGATTGGGAATAATAAGAAGATTGAGAATAATGAGGAGATTTACTATGAATATGTTGAAGATGTTGATTTGATTTATCATGGGATTGTATATCATAGGGAGGTTGTGAATAACTCAATTTCTGAGTATTACTATCCAATTGGGTATAATTAGAGGTTTGAGAATAGTTAGATTGTTGAGGATGATTAGCTATCTGAGTATAACTAGAAGTTTGAGAGTAATTTGAAGATTGAGCATATGGAAGCTGATGATAATTAGAAGTTACAGGAAATTCTGATTGGGAATAGATAGGTTGAGTAGAGGATTGTAAATAATTAGATTGATTATTTAGATGTTGATAATGAGTTAATTGAGAATCCGAAGATTTAATATTAGGAGATAATTGAGTATGCAAAGTCTGAATATGAGATGATTGAATATGAGGTGATAAT